TATATATATATATATATATATATATAGATGTATGTCTGTCTCTGTGCGTATCTTAGATCGAATAAAGAAACAATCAGAACACCGACCAACTCCATCATCACTCTAGCTGCGCGCGCACCATTTACACACATATGCTTCATCACTTATCGCCTCCCTTTCCACAACATCAATCAACAGCACGCACGGGGACGCCACGCTTGACGACGCCCCAACCGATAAGTCGTATCTTGCGGTGGAAGAAGCGCGCCAGCGCCACACGGTCCCCGCACGCACAGTAGACTGGACACTCGAGCCGCACCTTGGCCTTTCCATGAGCTGTTCGCAGCACTGTCGCGGCCGTGGTGAGTGTATTGATACTCAGCACGACATTCTCGCCGTCCTTCAGCTTCTCGACGCGGTAGTACCGCGACGGCACCATAACGCCTGCATTGCGCGCATTGGCAGCAGTATTCGTAGTGGTGGTGACGGCGCTGCCACTGCGGTCCCGCGACACACCAAGGAGAGCCGGAAGCAGAAAGAACTGTAACTCGACCTCCTGATACACCTGCATGCCGTCGTCATTGTTGTCCGCGCTGCTGCCGTCCCCATCGTGCGTGGTCGCCAGACGCAGCACCTGCCCGCGGAGTTTGTTCTGCCGCGTAAGTGACGGGTCAAGGTACGTGCCGACCGCGATGAGGCCGCCGGGCACCGCATACTGCAGCCGATTCGCCTCCGACATGAGGGAGCGTACTGTGGTGCGCAGGGGCACCATGTGCACCTCGCCCGGCGGCGGCGAGCCAATGAACGACAGCTCCTGCCCGCTGAGCATGCCAGTTCGGCTAGGCAACACACCGTCGCGCCGCGTCAGTGCAAGCAGGCCGGGGAATAGCTCCACCACATCGCCCACACGCAGCACACCTTGCTGCAGCGTGCCGCCTACGACGCCGCCCTCGAGGGACTCCAGAGTGTTGCCTGGCGGCGTCACGTCGAAGGAGCGCAGCACATGCAGGCGTGGACGGGCGCGCAGGCAACGCGTAGGAAGGGGCATGTGGCAGAGGTACTCCAGCAGGTAGTCGGTGTTCAGCGCCAGCTGTGCGGAAATGGGGATGATGGGAGCACCGCCGTAATTCGTGCGGGAGCGCAGGTAGTAGCGGACGACAGACTGCTGCACCTCCGCGTGCTCCTTCGCGACGAGGTCAATCTTGTTTTGCAGTATCAACAGCGAAGGGACGCACAACACCTCTATAGCCGCGAGGTGCTCAAGGGTCTGTGGCTGCGGGAATGGCTCGTTCGCGGCGATGAGGAGCAACGCGGCGTCCATGATGGCGGCGCCGTTCAGCATCGTTGCCATCAGCACGTCGTGGCCGGGGCAGTCGACGAAGGAGAAGTGGCGCTTCAGCGTCAGTGGGGACCCGCAGGTGGGGCAGTCGGTCTTGTCCGGCTGCGAGGACGGGAAGGCGTGGTAGGCGGCTGGCAGCTCGCACTTGTCGCACTTGAAGACCTTGGCGTTGGCGTAGCCGAGGTGGATCGTGATGTTCATCACCGCCTCGCGGTGGTACTTCTGCGTCTTGACGCCGCTGAGCGCCTTCACCACCGTCGACTTGCCGTGCGCCACGTGGCCGATGGTGCCGATGTTGACGGTGGCCTGCCGCGACATCACCTCGAACGTCTCCACGGTGATCTTGTCGAGGTCGAGCGTGCCGATGTTCTGCACCGCTAGCCCGCGGTCGTTCTGCTCATTCTTGCCAAATGTGCTTTCGTCAAGCGTGAAGTCCGCGATATCGTTCTCGCCCATTAATATTCTGTCAGATCCGTCGGTGTGTCTCAGTGCGTGTGTACACTAGCCAGCTGCCAGCATCGACACAGCTACAGAGAGACGCCCACTCGCTGTTCGCCCCTCCCTATGCGGTCCGCTTGAGATGTTTTGCCACGCTATACAACACTGCGCGCATACACAGGCGGCAAATAAGTCAATAATGCATAGAGATAGAGATACGAAATAAATACTGAGCATGAGAGGCAGGAGGAACAGCCACGCAACCCCCCCCCCCCCNGGGGGGGGGGGGGGGACACGTGCGCCGCAGACGCACACGCGTAGACATGTATTGCAGTCGGCACGGAGATGTACAAAAAAAAAAAGTGTCGATCCAACCATGCATCAGCGCCAGCCACGACGGTGTCTTGGTGGTGGAGATCGCGAGGCGAACGCAGGAGCGTCTGCACCCGCGCGCACGCGCTCTCTCTCTCGCTCACACACATACACACAGAGAGAGAGAGAAAAAGAGAGACCACCTGCACTTTCTTTTTTTCTTGCCATGGCCGATAATATAATGGAGTCTACAGTTACGCAGCGCCGTGTCATACAGGAAAATATGCGGGCGCGCGAAGATGTGGTATTAGAAAAATAAAAGCATAACCGCGGAGTAAAGCGCGAGATCTACCATACGTACAACTGCTGCTTGCCGTTTTGAGTCAGGGAAAGAGGATAGGGGCACGAGTGTGAACAGAACACTCTCTAACGCTCGAGGTTGGCCCACCTCTCTACTTGCTGGGCTTGCGCATCTTGTGCAGCACTGCACTCTTCACCGCGCCGTTCACACGCTTGTTGTCCCCTCCCCGCGTTCTGCTGGCGTCACTGTTGCTGCTGCTCTCCATGTCGTCGGCGATGAGGAACTGGATTGCCCGCAGGTTGCCCTCCGTCGCGGTAAGTCCGGCCTCCAGCGACTGCGCAATCATGCAGCGAACCACAATTGCCAAGTCACCTGGCGACAGGAGGGAGCCGGCCTTGCGGAACGCCGCCATCAGATCTTGAATGCGGCCCTCATCCGCCACGCTGCGGCGGTGCAGCGTGTCGGTCATGCGCTGGATCTCGTTGAGCTCCTTCTGCGTGCTCTCCAGCACGCGGTCGCGGTCCTTGACGCCCACAACGATGCAGCGCCTCAGCGAGTTGACGATGCAGTCGACGGTGGTGCAGAAGCTCTGCATCTCGCGGTGGAGCTGCTCCACCTGCGCCGACGCGTTGGATCGTGCGCTCCCGGTCTGCATCTCGCTCATGTCGCTGCGGATCATTTCCGCCTGCTTGTTCAGCTCGTCGTAGACCTTGTCGTACTCCTCCTTGAGGCGCCTGTTGTCGAGCGTCAGCCGCTCACACTCCGTCTTGTAGTTGATGACGCGCCCAGACGCGTCGCGTGCATGCACGTTGGCGTCGCCAAGTTTTTCCCGCAACGCCTCGAGCTCGCGCTCCTTCGCCGCAAGGGCGGCCTGCAGCTTGGCGACATCGCCGCGCGTCGCCTGGAGGTCGCGCGTGAGGCTGCTGATCTCGTACAGCATGCCCTCGTTCTCCTCCAGCAGCTGCTGCGTCGCCGGGTCCAGCTCGTACGTCGGCAGAGTGCTGCCGCTGGCGCTGCGCGTCGCCTTGCCCGGCGCCACGCCAGCGAGGTTCACCGGATGCTCCACGATGGGCGAAGGCTCTCGTCCGCCGATGTCCATTTGGCCTTGATGTTGCTTCCTGGTGCTCTTGCTCACTCTGTGCAGAGACCCTCACTCACAAACAAAAGGACACACACACACACACACACTTTCTACCCCTCACGCTGCTCTGATCGCCGACTCTGCTATGTGCTCTGACGCAGCAGAGGGGAGGGGGAGGGCGGACGTGCCGAACGGGGCCGCAAAGGAGAGAGGGAGAGAGAGAGGGGAAAGAGTGTGAGATAGAGCGACAGAAGACACATACAACACGTGTAGATGGCGTGCTTATGTGCGTGTATGTGTATCAGCCTGCGTATATACGCCTGCAAATGTAGAGTATGTGGAAACACAAGAGCGAGCGAAATGAATATCGCAATGAAAATGGCCCCCACCGCGCGGCTTACGAACCACGCAAGATAAAACGAAAAAAAAAAAACCACGAAAGACACACGCACACGCATACCTGTTCATTCATACATTCACAAACATACACAACACGAGACGGGGAGCATTGCTAGAAGAATGAGCTCCCGCACACATAGATTAGGGGTTGTTAACTACATCCACATATATATATATATATATATGTATCTGCATTCGTTGCTGAAAGAGGAGACACAGGTACATGTAGCACAACGAGAGATTCAACAATACACGCCTCCCCTTTCGTGGTATAATTCTCTCATTTCATTGCGTATAAATGTGTGCGTAAAGCACACAATTGCGACCCACTTCATTTTATTTCCTTTTTTTTTTTGTTTCCTTTCACCTCAGTTGTTTACTATTGTTGTATTTCTTTCCTTGGCTCGGCCCTCCCCTCCCCATACCTCAACCTCCTCAAAAGGAAAGCACATGGACAATGATAAAGCAGACATGCCTGGCTCAGCGTACCCCACCTATATACATACACACACACACACACACACACACACAGACATGTTTATATATATATGTCAGTGGTGCCGTTGATGGGGGAGCGTGCAACCGCACAGGTGTGGGCGGGCGGAGGAGGTGGCACAGCCACGCAGCACGCAACCGTCAGAACGTGACGCCGACGGGGACGCCCAAAAGAGAGCGCCACCCCCGCCGCAGGTGCTCCGCAACGCAAACATTACAGCTATGAAACAAATACAACATAAAACGTACCAACATAGGTGTGCATGTGTCTGTTGCTGTGTCTTCCCTCATTGACATTGTCTCGCTTTTTTTATTATTTTGGCTCCTTTCTTTTTATATTGTGTTGGATTCATATATTCTTCTCTTCTTGTTTAGTTTTCTTTTGTTGATTTGTTTTTGCCCGCCCGATTTTTTGCTCCTCACTGCTCCGAAAAATATATGTGTGTGTTTGTGCTTGCATGTGTGACTTTACCCGTGCGCATTTCCCCCTCAACATCCTTGACTTATCTTTCAATCCATTGCGCTGGATTCATTTTCTCCTTTCTTCCCCTTGGGTGCCTCGCCTCTCTCCCGCATTTTGCGTGTTCCTGCTGCTGCTGCTGCTGCTGCTGTGGCGGTCCGCCCCCCCACACCACCGCCACACAACGGAAACAGCAACAAGCACCGCGCGGCTGCTGCAGTTATTGTCGCGGCGGCAGGGCACGGTGACACAAGCGCGAGAGAAACGAAGGAAGCCAAACACCGTCAGTAAGCGCGTACATTTTTCCTCCGTGTGCCCACTGACCCTTTTTTAGATTGTCTTCAATGGAAGCAATATACCCTTTCCCCCTTTTTTGGTTCTTTTCAAACCCTGCGTCACATTTGTTTCTTTCTGCCCCCACACTCCCCGTTTGCTTTTGCACCCACCTCGTCGTTTCCTTCAGCTTCGTCGGCTCCTCGCCCCTCGCCCTCACCCACCACCACCACCATCCGCCGCCCCACTCCCTCGAAGCGAGTGGAGCGCATGGGCGACACGCAGGGATGAAGGAACGGGAGGGAGACGTAGTACGCCGTTTGTTGCAGCTTCTGGGCGCACGCACGCACACACACATATTCGATACATACACGCATGCGAATACACATATGCGATCACAGTTAGTTCCGGATGTATGTGTGTATGTGTGTGTGTGGGCGCACCGCCTTAGAAGTCGGAGACGGCGCCGGGCGTCTTGTACTTTGCCTTGGCGCTAAACATTGAGTACGGGTCTCTGTGGACGATCCGCTCCTCGCGCCGCTGCCGGGTCGACTCCAGTCGCGCCTCCCGCTCACGCTCCATCGCCTCACGACGGAGCCGCGCCTGCTCCATGCGCGCGATGCGCCTCTCCTGACGCTCCTTCACGCCGAGGACCTTCTTCTCCTCGAGGTGCACGATGCGGTCGAGCGTGGCGGCCTCCTTTGCGAGCTCCTGCTCGACGAGCAGCTTGTCGCGCCGCTCGTCCTCCTCGGCGACGCGCATTAGTGCCGCCTGCCGCCGCTCCTCGCGCTCCATCATTTGATCCATCGCGATGCGCTCGCCCTCCGTCAGCGCGATGCTCATGCGGTCGCACATGGCNGCCCCTTGCCGCCGCTCCTCGCGCTCCATCATTTGATCCATCGCGATGCGCTCGCCCTCCGTCAGCGCGATGCTCATGCGGTCGCACATGGCAGAGCCGGGGCTGCGTCGCACGACGGAGAAGCGCGCGGAGGAGATGATGCTGCGGTAGCGCAGGTGTGAAGCGGCATCGGTGGGGCAAACGCTTGAGCGCCCCGTATCCTGCGTGCGGTTGATGTAGCTGATGGAGCGCTGCGGGCGCTGGTAGAAGTGATGCTGCTGATTCTGCAGCCGCTTCTGGTGCAGCTCGAAGATGCGTTCGTTCTCGGCGGCGGCCACGTCGTGCTCATCGTGTTGTTCGTCATCTTCGTTGCGCCTGCCGTTGTGGGAGGACTCGTGATCCTCCTCATGGTTCTGCTCCTGCTCCTGCTCCTCCACGGCGTTGATGTTGGCGTCGTGATCCTCCTCAACACTGTGTGATTCTGAGTCACGCACCTCCTCGAGGGGGTCGCCGTTGTCGCGATGAACGTTCTCCGAGTCGTACCCCGTGGACATGGACGAAAAGGTGACGGAGTGTGTTTTCTCTTGGTGTGTTTTCGTTTCCTCAGCAAGTTGGCTTGTGCCAGTAGGCCAATGCTTGAGCCGTACGTGGGTTCGTGCACGCGTGATTGCACACAGACGTGCGGGGACAATATATATATATATATAGGGAGAGAGAGAGAGAAGTGGAGAAGAGGTGGGTGATTACACACAGGCAGACACACACACACACACACAAAACTACACGCAATGTAGGCACATATGCGTCTGCACACATACCGACGAATATGAAGCGAATGACAGTTGCACGGCTGTCCCACGTGCTGCCGCCAGCCGCGCGGCGGGATGCAAACGGCGGGCCGGGGAAGTCCCTCAGCGCCTGGGCGGCGGGCACCCCCCTCCCCCTCTACACTGCACACAGATGGAAAGATTGATAAATCGAGAGATGCGCTTCTGCCATTCACGTTCCGCTTCTTCCCCCTTTCCTTCCGTCCCCACTTGCTCTCCACCCCCACAGCTTCACAGTGCTTTTTTTTTGTTGCTTGCCTTTCTGATTGTTTGTGGCTTCCTCCCTCGGTGCCATATATGCCTCGTGCCCCCAAGAGACACCCTGTTCTCCCCTTCCCTCCTTCCTTGTCTCGCTCATTCCCCCACCTATTCTCCTTTTTTTTTGTTCGCTCTGTTCGTTCAGCCTCTCTCTCTCACACACACACACACACACACACACACACACTAGCTCTATACGACTGTGCGAGCGAAGCCGGTGTTGTAGTGCAGTGCCTGCGAGAGGAAGCGGTGCAGCATGAGCGACTCCGCCGCGTCGAAGTCGACGGTCCACTCGAACGTATCGCTGCTGCCGTTGCCGTCCATCGCTCCCTCCTGCCGCTGCTGGGGCGGCTTTGTGGAGGTGCACTTCAGCGTGAAGGTGTGCGGCGCCTGCGGGTTGGGCGCGAAGACGGCGTTAGTGTAGCGCGACTGCACCTCCACCTTGTCGGCGCGCCCCTCCAGCACGCCGAGGAAGCGTGCCGTGTACACCGCCGGCAGCATCACCGACACGACGCGCTCCGCCTTGTTGCCCTCCTCTCCAATCTTCTTCGCCTGACGGTGGTAGTCGAGCACAACGAAGCTGTCACGGTGCAGCACGCGTAGCAGGTGACCACGGCTCATGTCCTCCTCGTTCCAGTGCACCACGTCGAAGGCGGGCGGCAGCTGTTGTCGACGGGCGCGCTGCTGCGCGAAAGATGGGCGGCGCCACTTCGTATTGGTGTTGCTGCTGTTGTCTCTCGGTGTCTCGCTGGCGCTGGAGGTGGTGGCCTGGTAGCGCGCAGGAGAGGCTGTGACGTAACCGGCAGCGAGTGCGCGGTGGGCGAAGAGCGGCCGAGCAGTGAGGCGTCGAAGCATCTGCCGTTTCCCTTGTTATGTCTTTGGTTTTGGTTTGGTAAATGTGTCTTGTGGGCTTCCCTTGTATTTCCCGTACGTACTTACTTACTCCCTCCCTGTGTTACTTCCGCTCGCTCTCACGCTTATTGATGTTATTTGCGTTTGCTATCGCCCCCTCCTATGTGTTTGTTTGCGTGTGCGCTTGTGAGTGTGCGCGTGGTATCGCTGCAGCAGCGGCCGCGTGCACACACGCCATAGAGAGAAAGAGAGAGGTGGAGGACAGAGAGGTTGAGGCGCCGCCCCGCCCGCAGCAGCGAATACAGCCGCGTCAGCAATACATCACACAGCCAACACCCACCAAAGGAACGAAAAAAGAAAAGCGTTCTTGTTTCCTCTCTGCGCCCGTCTGCATTGTGATGATGTGTTACCAGAGACCGTTACTCATTTACAAAGATAATACCAACAACCAGACACACACGTGTGCTCGTGCGTGCGACGGAGGCGTGGGCGGAGATGCAACGCGACACACCACCGACCAACCAACCCACCAAGCCACACGCACACGCACACGCAATCCTTCCCTCACTCTCGCTAACTACAGAAAGAGACAGACAGACACACACATACACACACGGCCTCAGTGCTGCGCGAAGCCGAGGGCGTCGATCATGCGCTCGAACACCAGCGAGAAGGCCGCGCCGCCGACGATGCCACCGACGAAGCCGGGCGCCTTGTAGTACCGCCAGCCGTACACGCCGCCGAGGATCGCGCCGGACGACGTCGGGTTCCACACGTCCTTGCGGCCCCGCCGCTTTTCCAGCGCCACCTCGACGCCACCGAAGAGGAAGCCGAAGTACGCGAAGCTGCAGCCCAACTTGCTCGCGCTGCGCAGGCTGTGGCGGAAGAAGTCGGCCGTGCCCATGCGCTGCGTCGCCGTCTCGGCGGAGATCATCGCGCCGAAGAGGGAGAAGACAAAGCCCATAAGGTAGCCACCCACAACGTTCATACCGGCCGTCGCGAGCGTGCTGTCCTTCGCCAGCATGAGCGCCTTCTGCCCCGGGTCCACCGGCGGCTGCTGATCAAGCAGTGTCGCCATGTCCGCTACCCAACCACACCCGTGCTGCTTCTGTGGGGTCCTGTCACAGTGGTATCCCTGTGCGTGCGCGTATGGAGGGCTGAGGTGGCCTTCCCCTGTTACTGTTTCGCTTCTCTTCGTGAATTACGTGGAGGAGACGCCCTTCGTCGAGTCGCAGTCCCAACCACCACCGCCTCTCTCCCTTTTACTTTTGCGCCTTTGCTCTCCTTCTCTGAGCCGCGACAGAAACAGCACGAGACACACGCACACGAAGAGGGAGAGAAAAAGGGAAGAAGTGCGTTGGGCACAAGGGAAGGAAACACATGCAGAAAAAACGAAACCGAGGACGCCACTTATCTTATCCACACAACAGTTGATGTTTTTTTCTTCTTCTCTTGTCCCTTTTCTCCTCGGTGTCTCTACACGTTGCCTCACTACTTGCCACACAGACACACACACACACGCACACACAGTCGCAAGAGCCTCTACAAAACAAGCGCACGGATCCGCATTATCTCCTTCTCTCTATTCCTCCTGCTGCGTTGTGGTTCGTATATATAGATAGATATATCTATATATAATATAAATAGAATCTAGACGCAAATCCACAGGTTAGTGTGCTGCCTAAACCCCTTCCACTACCACATGCCGCCAAGGAAGATCCACATAGATAGATAGATAGATGTGGCACATGTATGTATGCATGCGTGTGCGTGTGTGCTTTTTCACTCCCCAGCCCTGCGTGGCTGCGGCTTCTCTACATCGCCGCCGCGCGGCCCCCACTCTGTGCGTACCTGCGTGCGTGCATGTCGGCTGCCGCGCAGCCGCTCTCTCCGCACGTCAAAGCACCACCTCGGGGCGCGACTCAATCACGGCGATGCGCTGCTGTGACTCTTCGCCCTCCGCCTCTACGCTCCACAGTCCGACGAACTGGCTGTAGCCCGACAGAAGGCGGAGGCGGAAGTACCGCACCCCCTTGCCGGCGCCGTTCACGTCGAAGTCGAGCTGCTCGATCTGCTTGCTGCCGTCAGCGGAGCGCTTCAGCGTGCGCTCGGCGACTTTCTCAAAGGCGGTGGGCAGTGCGGAGCTGCAGCGCTCCACGACGATGTCCTTCGCCTCGTGGAGGCACAGCTGCAAGCGCGAGATGCTCGGCGCGGCGGAGGTGCCGACGGCGAAGATGATGTCTTGCGGGAACCCACCAGTGGTGAGAATGAACGTGTCGGAACGCCCGTCAACGAGGCACGACGTCGTCATGCTGCTGTCGTCGTTGTGGAACGAGACGTAAATGGGGTCGAGCGTCACCGGTGGCATCTGCGCGGCACACGTATGAATAGAGCCAAATACAACTAGATATTTAAATTGGGCCACAGTACACGTGCACACGCTGCGTGTATATGTCTAGATTCTCCTTCGCTGGTCTTTGTTCACTGCATCACACACATACATTGAGGGAGGACGAAAGAAGTAAGGGGTGGGGATTGGGGAGTGAGCTCGTGTGACATACCAGTCCCTGTTGAGTGCGAGACGCAGGAGATGCACATTCACATCCACACATTGTCTCTCTCTCTCTCTCTCTCT